GCTCAGAAGAAATCCGGAACCTGTTACACGTTTATGCAGACTGAGTTAGACAAAGGATATGTAATCGGTCCTTTTGATTCACCTCCATTTCCAGTTTACCGGATTAATCCTTTGGGTCTGGTTGAGGGCAAATATTCCAAGAAACTGCGACTGATTGTGGACATGTCTGCACCACATGATAAACCACAAGTGCCTAGTCTTAATGAGCTCATTGACAAGGACGCGTATTCTATGTCATACACCAGAATTGATGATGTCTTTGAAGAAGTTAAACGATTAGATGGCAATGCATTCATGTGCAAATTCGATATCGCTGATGCCTTCAAGCAGTTACCTCTACACCCATCAGTATGGCACTTACATGGTGTTAAATGGAAAAATAGTTATTATTTTTTCGTCCGTTTGGTATTCGGGGCCAGATCAAGTCCGAAAATTTTTGATACATTGTCACAAGCTACATTTGTATCTGTTGGATAGCAGAGCACCGATTTCAAGTGAAATTTATCCTACATTTGCTAGATGACTTTCTTACTGTAGACAAGTTGGAAGAGACTGCTGCTCGTTCGATGGCTATAATGACAATGATTTTCAAATCGTTAAACATTCCCTTGGCAATGCACAAGACTCTCGGGCCAGTACAAGAAATTGAGTATTTAGGACTCATGATTAATTCTAAGGACATGCTTGCCTACCTACCTGATAACAAGAAAATCAGAACTATTGCTAAGATTTCTGAATTTTCTTCACAGAAAACAATCACCAAACGACAATTACTTTCTTTGCTGGGTCATCTTAACTTCGCGGCTAGGGTGATCCTGCCAGGAAGATCATTCATCACTTATATGCTGAGACTAGCTTCCTCTGTATCTAAGTTGCATCACCACGTCACATTGAATAAAGCTTGCCGTTTAGAGTTGCATATGTGGGGGCTATTTTTGGAATCTTGGAATGGTATCCACTTATTTCTGAACAGTGACATAATTAGTGCTTCTGACCTCCACATTTTCACAGATGCCTCATCAACTAAAGGGTTTGGAGGTTATTTCCAGGGACACTGGTTCTGTGAGGTTTGGCCTTCACAGTTGATGATAGAGCAACGAGATGATTGGTCAATGGCATTCCTCGAGTTGTATCCCATTGTTGTGGCTTCAATGTTATGGGGAAAGTTCTGGTCTCAGCAACGTATTCGTTTTAACTGTGACAATCAAGCCACAGTTCAAGTCATCAAAAAGGGAAGGGCATCATCTCACTGTCATGCTATAAATACTCTACTACGTCGACTGACACTGACCGCCATGCAGCACAATTTTATTGTTCTTGCACAATTCATTCCGGGAAGACAGAACACTGTAGCTGATGCATTATCTCGTTTCCAGTTTCAGGAATTCAGGCACCTTGCACCAGAAGCACACAAGCACAAGACACCGTGTCCACCATATTACAAAGTAATGCAGATTTAGGGCAAAATGTGCGTGAACTGTGGAGTTGTACATTAGCGCCTAGTACAAGGCAAGCTTATAACTCAGGTTTAAACCTTTTCATTCGTTTTGTGAACATGCACGCCGAGTCATGCTCTTTCGGTAATTTACCAGCAGTATCAGAGGACTTATTACTACTTTTTATTATTCATTGTTACAAATATCTACAACTCAAAGAATCTACGATAAAGACTATACCTTGCTGGGATTCGTTTCAGATACATTGAAGCAGGTGTACCTAATCCATGGCAGGTAACTGTCGGTGTGCCATTAGTATGGGTAAATTTGTTACTCAGAGCGATTAAACGTAATCAGGGACGAGGCACTAGGCCACGCTGTGCTTTCACAGCTGATATTATTTATTTAATGTTTAATACTCTTGAGTTAGGAGTATTTACCCAGTTCATTGATATCCTCATGCAAACTGTTGTGTTAGTAGCTTTTTTCGGTTTCCTGCGCTGCGGTGAATTCACAGTCAGGTCCTATGGAGCGTTTAATAGAGAATTTCATTTATGTATTGAGGATGTCAGTTTTCAAGGTGATGCTCAAGTTTTTCTACGGTTGAAGTCATCAAAGTCAGATCAATTTCGTGAAGGAGTGGTAATTAGATTATTCAGAAATGACCGCATGTGTCCAGTACAGAGTCTGAAGCGATATTTGTCTCTCAGAGTGGCTTTGCGTCCTAGACCTAGTTTAGGGGACCCTCTGTTTGTAACTGAAGACAACTTACCACTGACGCGTTCTGTTTTCCTGCAGTATTTACGCAGACTTGTCTGCTCATTGGGTCTCAGTTCATTTCAATTTACAGGCCATTCCTTCCGTATAGGGGCAGCTACGTCTGCAGCAAATGCCGG